TTATCTTATAACTTTGAATATTTTGGTATTTTCCAATATATATATGATATTTTTTTATAAAATTGATTTTTTGAATACAGGTTCTCTTTTGAAGAAATATTTTATATCATAACTGTTTTTACTTCCGCTGCAATTCTTTACTATAAATTTTGTTTTCGACCTCTTCTAGGACTAAGAGTGCCTAGGGAGGTATGTTACAAAACTTCCCAAATATAGGAAACCCAATGTTAGGTCAGTCTTGTAACTAGGTAAATTCCACAGTAAAGTTTCAAAATGTCACAAGTAAGAAGAGATTCCAAATTATGAAAGAGACAAGAATCTCAAGCCACAATCCCAAATTCCATTTCCATTTCAAGAGAGGAATTACAAAGGAATATAAGATCATACTTGAAAATTTGTTGATGACAAGAAGATGAGAAAGCAGCAGAGTTGACGATAAAAGCTTCATCGTTGTTAGGGAAAGGAGAAAATGCAAGGTTTGAAATTGAAATCCATGGGTCTAAGGATGAATTTGAAATATACGGATTTTAAGTCTTTCAAATATCTTAGGTAAAATACACATATTTTATTTAAATCCAATTATATTTTATTTAGGTAAAAACAAACAGTGATATCGAATTTAAAGTGCTCAAATTCAAAAACAATGTTAAATTCATGTTCCCAAACAAAGCATGAATGATTTATTAGGAATTGGAAATATAGGTTTGAAATATTATCCAATGTGCAAAATTATTTACTTATAAGAAAAAAAAAAAGTAGTTGCAACTATAGCACCTTATAATGATATTAGATAACATGTAATTAAGAATATAGAATTTGATAAGCATGATTGATCCAAATTATATATATGAACTCTAAAGTGCTTGAGAAAGAGAGTGAGAATGAAAGAATTTTTTAGAATAATTTTTTTTATACAATGAATAATCGTAGTATGATTTCACTATAAAATTTTACTATAAAATTACATAACTCTATTAATTAATAGGGAGTCATTTAAGATAATTATTTGGTATAATTTTTAAGTTGATTCTCTTACTTACATGATTAACATATAACATGTTTTATTTTATAAAATTAACATATAAATATTTATCTATTAAAATTGTTATTTATTTAGCATTTATGTTTTATAAAAATGAAAAATTTATTTGTAAACATCAACCTTAAAAGAATTGAACTCACAAGGAATTGGAGTTTTAAAAAAATGAAAAAAAAAATAGAGATGGTGTTTAAAAAAAAATAGAGATAGTGTTTCCTTTTTTTTTAAAGGGGATTTTCAATTATTTTAGTATCATATTGAATAAAAAAATCTTTTAGAAAAAATATTTACAAAATAGTTTTAAACTCTAGAAGAGGTTATGTAAAAAATTTTACTAAAAATTTTGACTTTAAAAAAATATGATTTCTATAACAAATTCTCCTAAACAAGACTTTTACCAAACATGAGTTCTAGTAAAAGTTTCAATTGCATGGAATAAATATGTATATTTGGTGCAATTTGTTGGACAAGCTTCTTGAGAATAAAATACAAGTTATACCAAACACCTATAACTTTGAAAACAACTTAAGTTGATGAGAAGCTAATTCTAACTTATTACTTTTAAAAATAAGAGAATGACCAATTACGTGCTTTTGTCAGTACTTCTTCACTCATTTAATAAAAATTGCCTATTGTTTCCATTTTGTGTGCATATTTTAACAAAAGTATACAAATAAATTAATATATATAATCAATTATAACAAGTAATCTTAAACCCTATTTTTATTTTGTACTCTCAAGTCTCTCCTCTATCCATCTAAAATCCATTTTTTTCCCCTAGATAGATTCTGATCTTATTTAATTTAGCATTAAAACTCATTTATCAAGTAATATAATCTCTGTCTTTAATGTAATCTTTAAACTATTTTAGAATGTCTTCTTTATCAAAAATCCCTTTACTCCTCTTTTTATCTATTCATCTTACTCAATTCAACACTAAAGCTCACTTCCCATTATTAATTTCAAAAAACATCCATTATGACTTACATAACTCAAGAGGAATAAGGTGTAAATTTCCCAAATATTTTTTAGTTGAAGTAAATTATTAAAAAAAAGTTGAAGTAGATTACTACTTCAAACTTTCTTTTAAAAGAAATTAGTTATTTAATAGTTAACATCAATACTATTTTTTTAAAACTATTGATCTTAGATTTAACAGATAGTTAACGTCACTCATAAATTGGGGTTAATTTCTTTAACATTTAAAATGAAATTTTATGGTAGCAACATGCTTCAGCTTTTTTATTGAATGTTAATTTACTTTAGTTTTTTATTAGATACTAATTTGCATATTTAATTAGCCTAACTTGAGAAGGCACTATTTTATTCAAAGTGGTGCCATTTAGATTAAGGGTGCATTTGGTATTGTAGTTGATAACTTTTTCGTGTAACTGTACAATATTTTTAGATATTTATGTGTTTGATAATTTTTTTTAAACTGCTGTTTCTAAAAACTATAGAAAATCATAGCAGATTTACAGTAATTTTATATATAAAGTCAAAAACCTGATTTTTGAGCTTTCTGACTATGGGTTTTATAGATCATACCTAATATTTAATATAATTACAAAATTACTCATTAAAATCTAATTTTTTTATAATTTAATTACATTATAATTTATAATATTTTAATAATTTTAGCGAATCTAAAATACTTAAATTATTAAAAAATAGTAAATATGATGATTTTAATAATTATATATCTTACAATATTTTTAAAATTTTAATTAATAATTAATAAAATCTACCATATTTTATCCATAATATTTTAAAAAAATAAATAATCAAACATCAAAATAATTTTCAACCACAATTATAACATAACATAGTTCAATACAATCACATTTATAGTTAAAGGCACAACACTTTGCAACAATTCCAAATGTACCGCAAGGTATTGTTTTTGTTTAAAAAGGCATTGTCTTGTACATAGTAATTTTTTTCTATCCTCTTAATTTTATTAAAAAAACCTAAGAATTAAATAAGATATTGTAGTTTTACTAAATTCTTGATTAAGATCCCAAAATTCTATTACAGTCAAATAAAATTGTTAAGTCATGAAAATTCTCAAGAAAAGTTTCAATTGGACAAAGCTATTATGCATGTTAAATTAGTCATTAAAACCATTTAACTCTAATTGGTTAAATATTAAAAAAGATTCATAGTTTTTCTATTTTATTTTTTAATAATACTAAAACTTTTTATAATCTCAAAATTCCCTTCAAACTTTTTTTGAATGATAATTTTTTGAGACCCACAACTAAAAAAATAGAAAAACAATCCATAGTTAACCCTAAATTAAAGTTAGCCAATTAGAGTTAATAACATTAATGCTTAATTTAATAGACCAAATAAATTCGTCAAATTAAGACTTCATCTGAAAATTTTAATGAATTCAAGAGCTTAATTGAGAATTTTGATAACTTTAAGACCTTATTTGAGCCTAATAAAACTCTAAGACCTCAATTAAAAATTTAGTGAAAATTCAGAACCTTATTCAATAAAGCCCGAAAAAATAGAATAATATCCCAAAGTTAACCTTGTTACGCAAAACTAAATCTTCCAATACCGTCTGTCTCCTCTCCCGACGTCGGCGACCAAAACTAAATCCCCCGTCAGGTATAACTTCATCCATCTGCATCTCGCTTCTCGCATCTCTTCTGTTCCCCTCTGTTCTTCTTCTCATCCTCTCTTCTCCCTTATCTCCTTAGTTCTTTCTCGCTCACTTCTTGATTCTCACTTTTTGTTTCTGAAGCTACCAGCGTGCTTCTTGGTTCTTTTCTCAGT